TCAATGATACTTTGATTTGAATTCCTGGAATGGAAGAAGTAGACTTGCTTCGGGACAAAACGAGACAGAACAAAAAATCAGCCTACTCCAGCTACTCCAGGCGCTTGATCGTGCTACTCCAAGCGCTTCATCTAGCCTCCAGAGTATCGGATTCCAATGGCCTTTGTTTTATTTAAAAGCCAAGATTTTAAGCTATCTAATGATATCTATCACTTAGATTTTTCTGTTGAAAAAGTCGATCAAAAACCTTTTCGAAAATTAGCGAGACAATTCCAGAGCAACAGAGCTATCTCGTTAAATCTCGATAAGCTTTTTAACCGATTAGAACTTTTCATTTTCATTCAAAAGCCGCATTTCACATTTTTCTCCGCTTTCCATCGCTTTAAGTTCTGTGGAGAGGCTAGAATTTAGTGGAAATTAGTGGGAATTGATTTCTTTGAATTTCTTTCAATTTCTTTCATTATTGGATTCATTTTACGATCAAGAATTTCAGATTCAAGCTTCAAATTCATCAAAAAAAAGAAAAGATGAGAACTTGGTGTACCCTATTGGCCCTTTTCGCCGTCCTCATTTCAGTGATCGAATGCGGAAAAAATCGAGGAGTCGCTCTCGGTTTTGGTGGGTTTTCAGTGGCTAAAATTGGATTGAATAATGCTATTTTTCAGACTATAAGAAGCTAATAGCTCATCTTTTTATTCATTTATCTACAAATTTACATATGTTTTTTCAGGCAAACGCTCTGACGAGGAGGGTCTCTCCTTTGGGCCACAATGGAAAAGAGCGGTTTGGTTTTAAACATGCAAAATTTGCTACATACTTTGAATCCATCGAACAAAGTATTAAATGTTTAACTAACAAGGGAAGGGTCAACTGGCTAAGCCGGTCAACTGCTATGCGATCTATTCGACGCAGAATTTCATGCTGATTCCAAATATATATTCGGTTTTTGCTAAATGACAATCTGTCAAGTGTTATAAGTGTCTAAAGTTTTGTTAGGACGCTGAAAATGTAGCTATTTGGGTCTTAGCGGCCTTCCTGGGTTTTAGCGGCCTTCCTGGGTTTTAGCGGCCTCCCTGGGTCTTAGCGGCCTCCTTGGGGACTGGTTTCAGCTCGGCTGTGGCCGAGTAGTACGGCGTTCGTTTCCAGAATCGGACCTCACGAGTTCGACCCCCCAAAGATCCAAAGTGGGGGTCGAACTCGTGAGGTCTCGCTCTGGAAACGCACGTCGTACCACTCCGCCACGGGTGCACCGAAACTCGTCCACGAGGAAGCCGCTAAGATCCCATAGAGGCCGCCAAATGACTACATTTTCAAAACAAAACTTTAAACACTTATAATTTTTGACAGATTGTCATTAACCCATTCGAAACCGCAGCGTTTTTTCTTTTTTTTCGTCTACGGACCAAACCCTTTTTTGACATTTTTGACTCCGAAGCAGTTTATTTATGGTTGGAAAGATGCAAGAGAGTCTCCTACACCATTTATTTTTGATGAAGAACGATTTGGATTTGACTTCAGTACTTTTCAAAATCCTATATTATTCTTATTTTATCGACGACAAATTAATCAGCATGTTAGTAGGCGAATCTAATAAACATGGAAAAAGGGAAAAAAACTGGCAGGATTTCGATGCAAGCTCTTCCTGGCTCTGTATCGTGACTACTGGAGTAGCAGGCCTGGATTAGGAGGATTTTCCCAAATGTCCCACATTATGTCAAGAGCAAAATTTGAATCTATTCTTCGAAACCTGCGTTTTTGTGATAATGAACTGGATCCTGCGGGAGATCGGCTTTATAAGATTAGAGCTATTATGGAACATTTCAATGCAAAACCAGAGACTGCATTGATTCCGGGTAAATATAAAACATCTTCTTTGCCCACGTAATTTGTAGATCTGCTACAATTGGAATATACATGCAATGCTGAAAAACAGCAAAAAAAACCAATTAATTGAATGAAAATAGCTCAATTAGCGCTGCAGCGAATAATCGCTGCAGCGGTCCGTTCCTGAGTTTTTGCTGCAGCGATTATTCGCTGCAGAAGTTTCGAATGGGTTAAGCAAAAACCGAATATAGATTCGGAATCAAGCGTAAAATTCTGCGTCGATTAGTATAGCATTTTATCGGCTCAGGTCTTTTCTTGTAAATAAAACTTACAATTAGGTAACTATTAGTACTTTGAAAGTTTTGATCAGGTTGATCAGGTTGATCAGGTTGATCAGGTAGTCCAGGTAGTCGAGGTAATCTCAGTGTCAGCACGGGTCTAGTCTGTCTTGGAACCCTAGTTTCAATAACTATGTATTTTGAACAGATTTTTGAATGTTCTAATTGTCACGCGTACAACTGGAAGGCTTTCTGTCTATGATCTGAATGAATGATCTAATGATTTTGAAGTTCAAAAGTTTATTTTTTTTGGTAAAACATTTCCAATTGATTCCCAGTTATCAAATAGGCATTTGTGATTAAAATAAACAATTCCGAAATTGCATAAAAATTGAATGAAGATCCTTGCGCCTTGAATGAAGATTCAATGAATTTCAGCCAAACAAATTCAACCTCGGCTTCGGGAAACGCTCAGGAGGAAAGCCGAAATTCGCGTTGGGTTTCGGAAAACGGAGTGAAATGTACGAGGATTTGGATGGTAAGTGAAGAAAATTGAAAGGAAAAAGAATGCTAAAATAAAGCCTAGATGAATTCTACTGAAATTGTTGATTCTTCTAAAAGAAACGTGACATTTTGTTTTCTTTTGGCTCGCTTTTCTCTTTGCTGACGAATAAATTATTGTGTTGACGGGGTTTTGTCGAAAAAAACAAATTGTCAAATTGAATTTTGAACTTCTAACTAACTTCTAACTGTCAAAAGTGAACAAACGAATGCTAATTCTACTTCTAAAGTTGAACTTTTACTTAAAAATGCATGAAATTTACATTTCCTCGACTTGTCCTTAACTTTTTGGTGCACTTTTTTTTTCAAAATTGAAAATGCACCCTTCTGGTCGTTTTTTTCATCTTATCAGCCCGTTTTAGGAAGAAAAATAATAAATTCAATACGCCAGAAGGGGTTCGTTTGCGTTTTTAAGCTCAAATTATATGCATATTCAATTTTTATGTGTTTTAATCGATCAATAAGTGTCTAAACTAAAAAATCTGATTAATAAAAAGAAAATTTAGATGAACCCGAGCCAAATGACGAATACTTTGAGTAAGTTTTCACCTTTATTAAAAGATTTTTTTCATTTGAAATGCTTTTAAACCCGGTTTAGACTGGGCTGTCTTGGGTTTTGCATTTGAAACGAAATTGCTGCTAGAAATCTCAGCTTTTTGTTGTTAGAGTAGATAGAAAGTAGATTAAAGAGAGCTTAGCAGATTCTTTACAAGAGTTGATCAACAGATCCAGCTCACCAAATGTTAATGAGCTATAGACCGCAGAATTTTACGCTGATTTCGAATATCTGATTTGTTTTCTGAATGTTTCTGAATCGTTCGCAACTTGGCAAACAACTTTTGGCTTCTCTTTATCAGGTTTAAGCGCGTACCATTTGAAAATGGTTGCATGGTGTGGGGGCTAGTTGGTTAGGATACTGAGTAGCTAGTCAAGGGTTCGAATCCGCTCACTTTCTTCTTTTTGAAAACACTTTTTATGATGTCTCTCATGGCTTCAAGTCTCTCATGGCTTCAAGTCTCTCATAGCTTCAAGTCTCTCATAGCTTCAAGTCTCTCCTATCTTCTGTATCACAAATTGATAACATAATAACTTTAACAAAAAAACAAACAAAATAACGCAAACGATTAAGCACAAATTAACACGTGCGACAACAATCGATAAAGTGAGCAAAACATAATTTAACATCACATCGAGCACAACGCATACATCGGCCATTGCCAGCATATCATAGTTTGTTCTATGCCAGGTGACGCGCGTTTGTATTTGCGCACAGGAAACACATAGAATAGATTTTCTAAAAAGGAACAAAGTGATCGGATTCAAACCCTCGAGTAGCTAAACCGTATCCTAATCCATTATCCACTAGACCACGCAGCCATTTCCACCTCGTGCGCACGTAAGCCTTATAAAGGAAGGACAAATTGAACGCGCTTCTGAATCATTTTGCAAGAACGAATCAGATATTCGGAATCAAAATTCTTCATCCGTTGGTGTATGGTATATTTCATTTGATGAGTTGATCTGTTGCCCATCCCTTATTCGTATATTTTCCTAAAAAATGCTTATAACGCTTAATATTTTTAGTCTTTCCTCTGACGAGGCTCTCAGCTTCGAGAAGCGTTCTCCGAGCTCTCATCCCTCAATGAAAGGGCTTCAGAAATTCAACTTAGGACTCGGAAAATAATGAGTTTCTCATTTCAATAAATATTTTCGTCGTTTAAAATCAAAAACAAAAACAAAACCATTTAAAATGAAAAATTTTATTAAAACATGTGAAAAATGACATCAGAAAGCTCAAAATTATGCCTTTTTTCATAGGAGATTGGATTGGGGTAAAAGAAGAGAGAAAATAAACAAATAAAAATAGAAATGTCATGACAAAAATAGAAATATCTTTCAAATAGACTAGTTTACATTTATGACTAGATATCTAAAATAGTAGTACTTCAAGATTTTTGTGTGGAAATGTGCCTGAATCGAGTGAAAATCGAAAAAAAAACTTGGTGACCGGTATGATTTTGGTGTGGAGTACGGTAAGAGTACGGTAATAAGTATCTAAAGAATAAAAATAAACTAGAAAATCAGCTAGAGATAGAGAACTAGAGACTCAATTAAACAAGTGAAACACGAAAAAAAAAATTGGAAACCAAAAAATACCCACAACTTTCGATGCAAAATAAGTGGACTTTGTGTACTTTGAAGTTCTTTAAACGCACCTTTTCTGGAACCAGAACCACACAGAACCGTAGTGTGCCAGCAAAAGGTGTGTTCCTATGAGCTCAAAGTACTCTCGAACTGTTCATTGTCCTGCTAACATCGATATCGATACAAATGTTAAGGATTCCTTCTCTGTCTCGGTTTGATCATCTCGGATAATTCCCATGTCTCGTCCTCTGTCAACGAAGTGAAACACTTGAATGCGGCGATGATTCGATCATCTCTCGTGAAAGAATAGTTCCTGAAAAGAGCTTGAATTGAACATTTCATTTTTCAATTTGTTGACCATAGCTAACGTTTAATTAGTATTCCTAAACGTTTACAGAACTTCTAAACAAGCACTTTCTCTAGATCCAGGCCACCAAAGCTATTCGCTATCCAATTTCATCCCCCAATTTTTCTCCCCCTCTCTACCCCCCAAAATGTATTCCCCGCCCCTCCAATTTTTTGGGATATTAATAAAGTTAGGAGCCACTTTTTTTTGCTTCTTGGGTAACTTTTTGCGCAGAATCCGAAAATCGCCATCCCGCAATCAGATTTTTGCGTTTTTGCTAAGAAAATGCAACTTTTTTCGGGAAAATTAGCAAATCAATTTTCTTTTCATTTTGAATATTTTTTTTGGTTTTGGAACTGATTTGTAATCCTAAAGAGGACCGTTGGGTTGAGGGCTTTAGGTTTTCATCCTTATTCGCAAGGGATGGCGGCAAGAAAACTGTCGTATTTGTGACCAGAAGTGGTAGAACGGGTCATGCTTAGCAAAAAAAAAAACAAAAAAGAACTACTCAGCAAAAACGCAACAATCGGATTTTGGGATGGTGATTTTCGAACACTACGCAAAATGTTACCCAAGAAGCAAAAAAAAAAAGTGCCCCGCAACTTTATTAGTAGCTGACCATCTTCTATCCGGGGTCAATTAGTGCGTTGGATAGCAAGACTGGTGTTGGCGGATCCGGCTAGCGGATAGCTAAATTAGTCAGCCACCTCTGGTGGTGGTATTCTAAGTCAAATCCAAAAATCAAGCACTCCAAATTGATCGAAACTTCACTGCGTAATAGATTCTGTTGATCTTGGCCTCACTGATCAGAATGTAAAATTGTACAAACACTTGAGAGAACCAACAGCTATTCTCTCCTTTGCTCAACCCACCATCTTTTCAATTTTCGAATCGAGTCGAGAATGGCGAATTGTTGCCATCTCTTGCCAAAGTTCAACAAATCGGTTCTTCCTTTCACCGCCTCAGCGTGGAGATAATTTACGTTGCCGACGTGTACAAAGGTCAAATCTTGAAGGACAAGACCACTAAAATGATAAGTTTTCGGAATCATCAAATTAGAGAACTTTAGAGATTTAGAATTAGAGAAATTAGAGAATCAAATTCTTATAATTTTAGAACTTTTAAGTTTTAATTTGAAGAAGAAATCTAGGAAAACTTACACGTAAGGAATGCAAGGTGGTGCCGTTTCTACGAGCGCCGTTCGGTAGATTTTGAACGATCCCGAGGAATCCATGATGACAGCGTGCTCCTAGAGAATAAATTATATCACACTATAGATTAAGCACTATGAATTATCTAGTTTAAGCTGTGATTTTCTTATTTTATCCTTACTTTCAGTTGTTCGGTTGCCATTTTTCCCCATTCCAAGCGTCGGACTGGGCCCGAGTCGAGCGCCGACAAGATCGCCAGATAAGCATTGAAGTTGCCCAAACGACGGAGTTGCTGAAAAAAAAAATCGCATAATATATAAAGTATGAATATTTTTACATAATTACTCAAAAGATTTAAAGATGAAATCAAAAATCTGTCCAACCTTCATGATTTTCACGAATTTGTTCATGTAGCGCTCTCGTTCCTTGTGCTCTTTCGGTGTCAAAACCACTGTTCTCACCCAATACGACATCTAAAATTTACATCGATTTTGGCTTTATCTTGAATTTGAGATCTTTGAATCCATTTTGATCTCAGGTTTTGTATAAAGTGCTCATTTCACACTCACTTTGTTAAACTGCTCGGTGAAAGCGACCAAATTTGGGCACCGTTTCTCATCTTGCGCCTCGGCCCACCACAGGAGTTCGGCTGGTTCGATCGCTTGGAACAAACGTTGATCGAGTAAAGTCAGCTGTTGTGCAATGGTTGCTGATCGGAAATCCAATAGGGTTTCTCCTCTGAAAAATTTTGATCTTTAGAATCTTTGGAACTTCACGAGTTGAATAGGATCTTGCAATCTCTTGCAAAAGTTCAACAAATCAAACATTGAAGATCATCGCGATCATTGAATTGTTTACTGACCTATGCAATCGTTTATGACAAAATAAAAATTTACGTTTAAACTTTAATAATAAGCTGAAACGTACTCTTATGTTGCATTCCTTCTAAATCAACTCACTTCTTTAGCCGATCCATGTAGACTGTTGGTTGTCTAACCACCGCGCTTGATTCTATTCTTTCGATGAGACGAGTTCTAAAAAAAGTTATATCTCAATTAAATTATATCCTTCTTTCTCCGATCAAGTTTTGCTAAACACTTATTTCCCATGAGGAAATAATTTGAGTTAGAAGGGAAAAAGGTACGTGTCTTTCCTCGCATAAAAAACTTGCTCCTCACATAAAAATATTTTAAGTGAAAGTGAGAGAGAAAAGAAAGGAAGGCATGGGAAATTTTGATGAAAAACGCTGAGAAAAAGGTTGAGATTTCAAAGCAAATCTTTGAAATTGAGAAGTTTGCTTTGTAGTTTGTGCCCTTAGAAACCGCATGCATTCTGGCATGCAAATTGAGTGCGTCAGGAGTCGTGCTTTTGCTAGAGCCCAAAGTACAAAGCCACTGCGTTTCAGTCGAACCAAAACTACAATTTTCGTAAGTAATTTCTCACCTCAATAGCCTAGCCAATTGAAAATTCCCATCTCGAATCAATCGATAAACAAAATTCGTAACAATTGCGACGAGTTCTTTGTTGATTTCCACCGTACACAGCTCATCAACCACTCGAACGATGACGGAAAAGGTGAGACGAGCCGCTTTTTGAGAGGCTGGTTCGGAGGATAACGCCATGTACACATATCTATAGTATTAAAGATTTAAAGTATAATATAATGTAATCACCTGTGCGTTAACTTTTGCAAAAGATCATGAGATGAGGTGAAAGTGCGATAGGTCGAGAGGAAAGCTTCTTGATAGAGAAGTGAACCGCTGGCTTGGGTGGCGAAAACGATTAGAGCATCGATTGGGCCACCTCGGATCTGAATTGGAAGTTTGAATTGGGATAAGATTATCAAAGTTATCATAAAAACATCTTATCAACGGATACTTAGTATAAAAAGTGCTATGGCTTACACAATTGAAAACTTTTTCAAATGACTGAAAGCTAAAACGCGCAACACGACTATCACAATCCAGTTAATAGATGTTACAGTAACCCAGAGCTAACTATAAACTAGGTTACGGTAGCTAGGAATGCTTAGAACACCCGCTCAAGGTATACTATTATAAAACCATTGCAGAAACTTTTTAGACGCGTCTAATCTAGGCCAGTTACTATACCAGCTAGAACTTACGATTCATAGTAAATGATTGTTTTAACCATTGCTTTAGACTGATTATAATCGATATTATTTTTGAATTCTTTACCTCACTGGGTCGAATAGCAGCCTCTCTATCCTTCAACACAAGATAATCCGTCACATCCAAACACTCGAGTACCGATTTTGGCGCACCAATGTATTTCCTTTCCGGATAAGTGATTGCTTTTTGCTAAAAAATATCATTACTAAATTAATCATAAACCGCTGTTACCTCATAGTCCTGAAATTTCTTCGGCAATCGTATCCGACTTAAATCTGCGCAACTTTGCAATAATTCAGCCAAGTTACTGAAGTCGGATTGAGTGGTGGAGATGCCTGAATGAAATTTTTTTATTTGATTAAAGATGTTAAAAAATTTTTGCATCTACCTGGTGGCAAATGATAGATATACCATTCGAATGGTACATCGAAAGTGGAAGAATCTATCCGGAGAGTCATTTCCAAGTCAAATACATTAAAAGTTTGGTTTGTGAAGAGAATTTCCGCGTTCTCTTTCTCGAGAATAATCGAATTCAAAACGAACTAATCGATTTGGGGTTTCGTCGCTAAAAATGGGGATTGAGAAAATGATGGTGTATCAGAAATCGATTATGAACATGAAGATGAAAATATGTTATCGAATAAAACTTTGGAATGAAACTTAAAGATTCTATAAATCCTAGTTTCTTATCTAAACACGGGGGTGGGACAAATGCTACCTTTTTTTTTGCGCACCTGGACATTTGCGCACCTTTTTTTGCTGGAAAAGGCCTTAGGCAAGGCCGTAGAGCTTCGAAAATGTTTTCATAGAAGGGAATCGTATGCGTGGATTCCGAATTTCGACAAATCAGACCTCGCCTGACACGTCAAATTGGGGCTAAAAAGCAAAAACTGCGGAAAAGCGTTAAGTTGCGTAGTTTTTGCCTTTTAGCCCAAATTTGACGTGTCAGCGAGGTCTGATTTGTCGAAATTCGGCATCTACGCATACGATTCCCTTCTATGAAAGCATTTTCGAAGCTCTACGACCTTCTTAAGGCCTTTTCCAGCAAAAAAAAAGTGCGCAAATGTCCAGGTGCGCAAAAAAAAGGTAGCATTTGTCCCACCCCCTAAACACAGTATGTCAGCTCAAAAGCATTCAAGAAAAAGATTAAATCTTTAAAATTCTTATGTGAATCAAAAATGTTTTTTCTTGTTGGCTAAATACTTGATTTTGAGCCAGTTTATCTGATCTTTACAATACTTTTAATATAAAAGATACAAAAATTGATTCTAATTATAAAGATAGGGTTAAAATGCTAAAAATTTTCCAAAATCCACTAGTTATTCGATTATAGAAGTATTGGTAAATATTACCCACTAACCAGTCAATACATTGACAGGAATTTTTCAATAACAAGCAACGAGGAGGAATAGAAAGAAGAAAGAAGAAAGAAGAAAAGAACGGCTTTTGAAATGAGATGGTCAAAATGGGGGATGACAACAAAAGGGTCGACCAGGCGAGTAAAAGAATTGACGGGCAGAGAATACCGCTAAATATTATGGGGAAATGGATAGGAGAATTCGAAGAGATACATTTATATAAAGAAAGGTTAACTGGAAAAGTTGGGACTAACCGGTTGTACTGGCAACAACTACAGTCAAAGCTCAATTTCACTTCATAACTAGGCCTGCTTATCGACTTTTGATAAGGACCCTTATCGAAACTTAACGATATCGAAGTTAGCGGCAATATCAAAGGAAATGTTTTCTGTTTGTTTTATGTTTTAAGTTGAAAAACTATCGAAATATAATGTTTTCTCGAGATTAGGCTTAGGGACAAAACTGACAAACAAAAGTTTTGCCAAAAAAGGAATCGAACTCGAGCAAAAAATGCGGCGCTCGTTTTGTATGCAAGCGTCTTATCCACTATACTATAAAGTCACGTTTGAGCTCCAAGAGAGATCCAAGAGAGAACCATTGTATAGGCATCCTTATTCGGCTCCGAATTTTCGCATTTTCACCCTAAAACTTAAAACACGTATAACTTTCTGTAGAAAGCCATTTTGCAAAAAAGAAAAGCAGATTCGGAATTAGCGTCGAATGGTCTATGGCTTATCTCATTTGGCCACATCCTACTGTTGTCTTTCTCTTGTGAGATGTGAGAAAATGGTTTTGGCATAGTTTGAACATTGTCTTTTGTTTATTTAAGTCATCCATGTTTCTCTTTGATTTCGACGCCGCCCTTTAACCGGACAATGTTCAAAAATATGCCAAAGTCATTTTTAACAGTTCTGGGTGCAACTGTCTTGATATTTTTATTGAGTTGACCAATGAAAAAGGCCAATCTCACAAAAATCTCAAAAGAATTTCGATAAGCAAGCCTAGTAATAACTACACTCCTTGCTTCTGGAAATGGTTTTCAAGTTTTATCAATGGCTGTTCCAAAACCGTTTTTTTACTAGTTTTGCCTGTCTTGCCTGACTATGAGCCCAAAATTACATAAACTAACAACATGGCTGTCAGTTTGCCAGTTTTGCCTGTCTTGGCTTTTGGCCTGGATTAATTAAATGAACAAAAGAAAACGTTTATAAGTGATTATTGAAACAACATATCCTAAAAGAATCCAAAATCAACAATGGAACATGTCAAGGAGTAAAGAGGAAGTTGCAAAGAGGAAAAAAAAACTATTAAATCTCAGAGATAAGCCAATTGCCAGTCATTAAGTGGTAATTGAGTAGAAGGAGAACAGATAACGATTGCTTCTGAAAAAGTTCATTCACCTACAAAAAGTTGGTAAAGTTGAAAAGTTATCGTTAATATCTTCTCATTAGCTGACTAAATGTGAATGAAACGAGTTTGAAATACGAAAAGCAGTAAAGAAATGCCTAGAGTGATGAGGATTGAAGGTAATGGAAACAGAGAATGAGAGAGACTGCGAGAACTATCCCTTCATTTTTCACCCCAAGGAAAGCCACCTACAACGCAAAAAGTGACAGCCGAAAACATCGAATCTCAGAGAAAAGGTTTGAGAAAGATTCGTGAGAAAAGAAAGACTGATAAAAAGATAAAAGATTGGATGTGAAAAGAGGGGAAATGTCCGCCCATCACTCAATTCTCCACCTTGAACCTCTTTTGCCAAAGAGATAAAGAGATAAAGAGTTCAGACTTGAGAAATGAACCTCCGTTTAGATTCTGTTTTTGGACAAGACTTTGAGTTTTTTTTATAAAAACTAGATATCTATTTTGCTGAACTCACCAGACGATGAGAATTCGAAGGGTGAGTTTCTTGCGGAATTGCTCCTCGTGAAGGCTGAAAATGCAAAGTGTAAAAAGTGTTTTATTTTAATGTAGCAAAGCTAACTATTAGAAAGATTTTGCAAAAAGAGTATCAACTTAACAGACTAACAAATTTAGTAGCATAGTGATGCTACATGACGTGATTGAGCTAGGGTTATACTATGTGAACCAGGCTACCGTAAATACTCTAATAGCGTCGCTTAGTCTAAGTTTACTCTCAAATAAACGCTTATATCTCGACGCTCGGACATTTTTTCTCTGCACGCTTAGGTATCAAATTAAGTGAAAAGAGTGGGTGATTTTTGGATATAACACATATTTTTAACATTAACCAGCGCTTAGAAAAATGATGAAAAATCGGCCCAAATCGGCCCTTGAAAGATGATGAAAAATCGGCCTTTTTTGGCATTTCTCAATCATTTTTTTCTAAGCGCTGGTTAATGCTAAAAATATGTATTATATCTCAAAAAATCACCCATCTTTTCTACTTTAATTTGATACCTAAGCGTGCAGAAACAAACGTAGTGGTGTCGAGATATAAGCGATTCTTCGAGTGTAACCTTAGACTACCCGATGCTCCTAAAGGGAAGGGGCTTCTATTCGAGTATTTACGGTATGCCCGTCCTAAAGCTGATTAGAAATTTATCAGTAAATAACCAATTCAGGGTTTGTCAAAATTTTGCAAACTTTCAGTACGAGTTTCTTTTTATTACACTAAAATATCCTTCATTCTAAAAAGGTTTTCGTTCAAATAAAGTACTAACACCATTCAATCATATAAAACAGTTTTAAGACCTACCGTAAACTGTCGTTCAATCGCACATATGTCGCCAGTGTTGTCCCTCTCAGAAATTCATCGGCATTCGGATCCTTTTTGGTTGGAACGTCTAAAAAATTCGAAATATTCAGTGCCAAGCAAGGAATTTATTAGATCAATTCGACTTTTTGCGATTTGAAAAGCTGAAATTTTGATCAAAATGTTCGAAAATCTATGAAAATCGCTTAAAAATAGAATGTTTTCGAAGTTTTGTTCAAACAAAGGTTGGGAACACGAAAAAAATTCCTGAAATTTGTTCAGCTGCTCAAAATGGTCAGAGGGGATGTTTTGTGGATTTGTTTGAAAAAAAGAGAAAAACGTGAAGTTTGTTAATTTAGTGAATTGATTTTTTATGAGGGTTTTTTTAGAGAAAAGGCGTCATTCTATTCCGATTGTGTTTAGATAAAAAATTTTCATGGAAACAAAAAAAAAAATGTACACCTGGTGCCCAAATTTTCAATTTTGGGGAAAAACTTTCAATTGTTTGAGGGGATATTTTAAAATTGGTCATTTCTCGAAAGTTTTGAACGAAAATTTTAATTCTACAATAACTTTGCATAGCTTATCTTTTGTGTTTTAGACTTTTTAGATTCTTCTAAGGCCTAGGGAAGCTCAAAAAACTAGGAAAGCTCTAGGAAAGCTCAAAAACTCTAGCTTGACAATCTATTACGTTGACGCAAAAGTCTTTACAATTTTCTTTTCAAACTTTTGTTTCCATAGAAAAGAGTCGTTTACCCAAAATTGTTGTGTCCTAAACTATTAAAAAGGTCTATCATTTCTCTACGAAATAGCTTTTAAGACAAAGCTCAAAGCTCGCCTCAATTCGGTAAAAACGCATTTTTGTGTAAAATTGCTATCTTATGCTAAATTTCAATTGCTATCTTAAAGAAAATGGTCAAACGGATCGTTTTCAAATTTTACAAACTTATGTAATCAAATAAGCTCTATCTTTTTTACTTTGACACCAAAATTGTATTGAAATTGTATTGTAATGGTTTGTAATTGAAGAAAGTGTCCAAATTTTCAAAGAAAGTTTTGGGTGCTCGCCTTTGCGCCTTTGAAAGTCTATAAAAACAATTACTTCTAAGAAATTCCCAAAGGCCATTATGCAAAGAAACAATAAAGCTTTTTAATAGTTTAAATAGAAATTTTGTTGGTGGCAGCATTATTTTTAAATGACGTTTCGAAAAAAAATTGTAAAGACTTCTGCATCAACCTAATTTTATGCACCAGCAGCTTTTCTCAAACTCTTAACTTTTCAGTTTGAACCTTACTTAAAAGCATATCTTTTAAAAGCATATCTTTCAAAAGCATATCTTTTAAAAGCGTATCTTTTAAAAGCGTATCTTTTAAAAGCATATCTTTAAAAGCATATCTTTGAAAAGCTTATCTTTGAAAAGCTTATCTTTGAAAAGCTTATCTTTGAAAAGCTTATCTTTTAAAAGCATATCCTTTTCTTAAATCTCACCTGAATATACTCGACCACGTGTTTCTTCACAGGGGAATCAGCAGGAGTTCTCTGGTTCCGGGTAAACCACCGCGAAATATTGTCGCCTCCTCATATGTGCCATCACCTTTTCGATCCGTTAGCTGCTTGCCCTAAATAGAAAGTATTTGAAAAAGCCGAAAAAGTATTTGATTTAAGATCAAGACATCCCGAGATACTTAAAATTTACACAATCCTTCACCCAACAAATTTCCTTACGATAAGAATAGGATCAAATTTCTGGAAGAAACAGAAACCTTGACCTAGGTAAGTCTAAGTAAAAAATACCTAGTTAGTTTAAGGAAGCCTAGGATTGGGTACAGCAATATAATCCGGTTTAGAATTAATAATCTAATTAATGATTTTCACCTTGAATGTGTCAATTTGTCGAGCATTCAATTCCGTGGTATCGATTTTGTGAGCCGCATTCTCCGCCAGCACTCGTCCATTCTTTTGCGTCTTTTGAGCAACACTTCTAAAAGAATTTTGATATAAAATTGTTTCTTGAAAGTTTTAGTGAAAATCTAAACCGCTCAGAATGTTCAGAAGGACGCTCAAACTTTCTAAAAACTCACTGTGTCACTTCACTCGTCGCTTCGACGGTCTTTGTTTTTTGAGATTGCCCGGGTTCACTTGATGTCGATTCAAAACCGATTGATTGCTCGGGATTGAGAAAATTTGCCCGGTCACGCTTCATTCTAAAACTTGACGAATTTGATATAGACAAATACTCATCTAAATCCGACCTTGACAATGGGGAAGTGAAGAAATCGGTTGTCTCAAAGTCGGTGTCGTCATTCATCGAATGGTTTCCATCAATGAAACGCCGCGAAACACATGGAACTCCACCGCCACGTGTGCTGATTGTTACCTAAAACAAAAAAGGAATTAGCTATGGGTGCTACAAACTACAAGATCAGACTATAAACGCTCGTAGAAACGCCAAGAATGAATATTTTTATAAACTGTTTTTACTAAAAACGAGCCAACGAGTCAGGCTTTCAAATGACACCAAAATCAAGAAATCCACCATCTCTGCGTCAAAATGTAACGTTTTTTTCAGGTTTGTAGTCCTATCCCATGGGACAAGACTACAAACCAGGAAAAACGTTATATTTCAAGCGCAGAAATGGTGAATTGGTTCGATCTTGGCGTCATTCAAAAGCCCGAAAGTTGGCTCGGATTTTTTTGGTAAAAACAGTTTATAAAAATATCCATTCTACAGTTTCTACAAGCGTTTGTAGTCTGATCTTGTAGTTTGCAGCTTCCATGTCTAAAAGGAACATTAGCCATTGAGGAAATTTTCATACATGTGGAAATTTCCACTACATGTGGTTACACCGAAATGTACAGGATGTCCGAAAAAGTCACTTTGTGTAAAATTTCTAAAAAATGGTTCCTTGAAACTGCTAAATTCTGAATATAAATTTGGATGCGTAGAAAATGCGAAAGAAGACTCAGTCGGATTCTTTAACGAATTCCAAATGGGAAGCCTCGATTTAACGATTCTCAAGGGATCGAGATTCTACATCGTTAAATCGAGCAAATTGTTAAATCGAACGCCTTTATAAGGTAAATAGCTTTCAAGCAACCAAAGATTGAGCATCGTTCAATCGAGAGTCGTTAAATCGAGGTTTGACTGTGATTTAAATTTGGGAAAAAATGTTCAAGGTTTTACAGAATTTCGAGTTTTTACCAAAAATAGTGCCAAATTTTGAGGGAAAAACTTGGGCATAGCGACGTGCAGAGAATGCGAAAGAAGACTCACTCCGGATTCTTTTACAAATTCCAAAAGGGAAACCTATCTATCAGGAGGATGCGCCAGATGGAGAGTGATTACGCGGCCGCACAAAGAGCACCTTGCCATTCATTTACATCGAGATTTCTCTTTTGCTTTGTAGATGGTAAAAAGGATATTCAGCTTTGGATTTATAGCTGGATTTTCGGGGGAAGGGGAAGAATAGATTTGAGATGAGCTATTTGAGAAGTGAGTTTTTGAACTTATAGAAAACATTTCATTCCTCACCTGTCGACTACTTTGTGACATGTTCACCGTTCTTGTCTTCTTCCTCCTGACCTCTGTCCCATCGGGTAATGTCTCCACTTCTTCTTCGCAAGTCTGAAACTTGTCGGAGTATTTATTTGTGTTATGTCAAAGTAGTTGTTGATTACAGAGAAAGTCGACTTTAAACTCTTTACCTTTTGCCCATGTTTCTCTGCTCTTTCCTCTTTTCTTTCTTCTGTCAGCACTCCTCCATCTTCCTCCTCGGATTCTCCGTTCATTTCAGGGAATTTTGGCTCAAATTTGGCCACTTGTCTAGAAAAAGGTGGCTTTTTACTTAATGAAAACTTTTTTAAACCTTAAATTTAGCTGTGTGAGTAGTTCATCAAGGCCAGGATCGGGGCCAGTACTCGCGTTGGAGACAGTGCTTCCAATGCCTTCATCCGGCTCTTCCACTTCATATGAGGAGATTGATTCTTCTGGTTGTGGTCGACTTCGAGAAGAGAGTAGTTCCTAGAGTTTGAAGGTTTAGACAAATGATTTGTTTACTTACATCTATTTTACATGGCCAGCACTAGACTTGTGACGAAAACATCTGTCCTTTTTTACCGTTGTCAATGTCAAGCTAGACTGAATACTCTATATCGACTGAATGCCCTAATCTAGACTAAATGCCGTGGTCTAGCTTTGCTAGGCTGAATATCCTATTCTAGATTGAATACTGTATTCCAAACAGTCTAGACTGAATACTTGTCACGAAGACATCTGTCCTTTTTTTACCGTTGTCAATTTAGGGTCTTTTTCAGCACAAACCCTTCGATTTCGACTATTTTTACTATCATTCAATACAGAATAAAATTGCGCGTCGAATGTTACCAAAAACCAACTCAAAATATAATATCCATGCAAAGTTATGAGGCAAAAGATTAAGTCTCGCCCATAATGGACGGGGTTTACGTTTTTAGCCAACAACTTTGCATGGATATTATATTTTGAGTTGGTTTTGGTATCACTCGACGCGCAATTTTATTCCGCATAGAATGATAGTCAAAATCGAATGGTTTGCGCTGACGTTTGCGAATGAAAAGACGAAAAACTTTAAATTGCCAACGGCAAAAAAAGGACTGACAAGATATTATCGTTGCATCATTTGATCACATCAAATATCTTACTTTTTGCAGCTCATCAACGAGCCGCATCCCTTCAGGTTGATCAAGTTTCGATGTTGATTGTACATCCACATGATGATCGACAAATTTCAGCAAGTTTATCAAAGCATCCTAGAATTTTCGTTCTAGAGTATCAAAGTTTTAAGACCGCCCCTTTAAGACCGCCCCTTTAAGACCGCCCCTTTAAGACCGCCCCTTTAAGACCGCCCCTTTAAGACCGCCCCTTTAAGACCGCCCCTTTAAGACCGCCCCTTTAAGAGCGCCCCTTTAAGAGCGCCCCTTTAAGAGCGCCCCTTTAAGAGCGCCCCTTTAAGAGCGCCCCTTTAAGAGCGCCCCTTTAAGAGCGCCCCTTTAAGAGCGCCCCTTTAAGAGCGCCCCTTTAAGAGCGCCCCTTTAAGAGCGCCCCTTTAAGAGCGCCCCTTTAAGAGCGCCCCTTTAAGAGCGCCCCTTTGCTATTGGAAATCTAACTTTGAGCTCAAATATCTTGGTGTTGGGCGGTTCAATTCCAATCTTCTTGGTATCATTAGATGCGCCAAGACTGTCTCCGTCGATTGGTACAAAAACTATTTCAATTGGAAAGCCAAACACCAAGAGATTTGAGTTCAAAGTTAGATTGCCAATGGCAAAGGAGACGAGATGGGCATCGAATGTCCCACAATCTCCTATAAATGAGAAGGGTTTTAAGAAGATGAATTTCCAAACTATACTTTTCAAAGTGTTCCCTTGCCCACTCAGCAATAGTTTCCTCTCTATTGCTTTCTGTTCTATTCACTTTCTGACACTTCTCACCCTTTTACTTGAATTTAAAGCTTGTTTAGTCTTTGTAAAGCTCTTTGTGAAGACCAGAGCTCTTTGTAGAAACCAAAATTTAAGAGCTAATGGCTTGCCATTAAGAGAATAATGATGGCTATTTCAATGTGACTTTGGTAATGGAAATAGGGGACAGGGAATTGCCCCTAATTGTAAGCCTGTAAGCCTGGATCAGAGTCAAAAGCTAGGCACATGGATTTTAGACGCTACCAGCTATACTTTCAAAGCGTCCATTCAGTATAGCTGGTTCATTCAGCTTTTTCCATTCAGCTATACTTTCTATGCTTGTCCATTCAGCTGAATATCTTCTAGTTTCGTAAAAGAATTTCAAACAAAAGGGCAGCTACGAAGAAACTACGCAGAAAAGCTTTCATAAGCTTTCATAAGCTTTCATAAGCTTTCATAAGCTTTCAGAACTGCTTCGTAGCTTTCATAACTGCTCATTTGTTTGAATTTTCTCACAAAATTAAAAGATATTCTAGAGTTTACTCAACTAGAGTTTAGGGGGACACTTTGTTGTATTCCAAAGTTGTATTCCAAACCTGTAGACCCGGATCTCGACAGCATTTGCTGTTGGCAAGACTGTTTAAGACGGCTTGAGCGGAGGAGGGAATAATCTGAAATGAAATTGTTTTTATTTTGGTTATCGATTTGTTATCGTACTTTTGTTTTCAACTATTGGGTTGTCCAGTTATGAATGCGCGTTTTTTACTATTTTGTAAATTTCTCAAGATACCGAAATCAAGAAAAAGGTATCTATTAGTATTATTCGAAAGCTGAAGATCTCCTCTACATTTTGATATAAAAAGTTTTTGAATTTGTTCAGCTTTTGGGCAAATTGATGGCACAGAAGAAGAGGTGGCCAAAAAATGGAAGGGTGCCTTTGGATCAAGTTTTGGCTCCGCTCAAATTGAGTTAACCGTTTGATGTTTGGCCAATAGATATATCAATACAAGCTTTTTTTAAATATAACAATTCCAGAGCATCTTTTACTTTTCTTTCTGGGCGGTTATTTTACACCATAAAACTTGAGGAATAGCTAAGCTGAAATGGGTTTTTTCGAAAACGACCTCTCCCTTTGTGCAGTCAATTTCTCAAAAAGTTGAGGAAATTCGAAAACTTTTTTATTCCAAAATGTAGAGGAGATCTTCAGCTTTTGAATGATATATAACACTCATATACATCTGTTCGGTATCTTGAGAAATTTACAAAATAGTAAAAACGCGCATTCATAACTGGACAACCCAATATTATAGCTACTTTCAAAGTTTTAAATCTCAATACTAGTCTTTCTCTACCTCCGTTTTCCCACTTCGAATCACTTCACGAAGATATCGCAGTGAGGTTTCTGTGTCTCGGTCGATCATCCACTAAAATTGCAAAATGCTTTGGAAATAGCTGTAAAATAGCTGTAAAATTTTTCTAAAAAAAGTAAAGATTGATGGCATTTCTAAAAAAATTATGTCAATTTAGAAGTCTTTATTTGGTTCTTTTTTGTTTACGCTCAATTTCTTTTCTAGAAAATCTGCATTATGGTTTACTGCTAGATCCAGATCCAGTTTCGGCTTCTGGTGAGCTCAGGGGTTTATAGGTAAGCTCTATAAAAGCCAGGCTCAGAAAATCAAAAAAGTTTCCAATAAAAACAACAACAAAGGCTTCTTTTGAATACCTGGGAAAAGCAAAATGTAAAACTTCAAAAGGGACTGAACCTAGCAAACACCTTCCCTCAGCAAACCATTGCACTAACCACTAGACCATCTCTTTATTTGGTATCTTTATTTACGCTTGATTCTAAGCAAGAAGGGCAATAGTCAGATTTTTTCAAAGTACCTGGATTCTTTCAAAATACCCGGAAACTATCGAACTCTAAGCAATCAACATGAATCTAACAGATCTTGTATCTTAACAGAGAATTAAGTGATTGTGAAAGGCAGGGACTCGAGAGTTTATCCAGATCCAGAGCTAGATCCAGAGCTAGATCCAGGTCCAGTTTCGGCTTCTGGTGAGCTCAGGGGTTCATAGGTAAGCTCTGTAAAAGCCAGGCTAGTTCAGGACTTGGTTTCTGCCCTGGCCCAGAGAAATTGCTTTCAAAACATTCTGGTAGAATTCAAGTTTCTATAAAATATGAAAAAGTTTACAATATGAATTAACTAAATACAATATACAATAATTAACTAAATTAAAACTAACTAAGAAACTAAATAACTAGATATAAATATAATTAAGAAAAGTTTGTAACTAAAGTAATCAAGAGTTTGCAAAAAGCTTATCGATTATCTCTCAAAAGGATTGCCACAAATTCTTCAAGGTGGATATCGTAAAGGAGAGAGTTAAAGATGAAATGAAAGAAAAGAAATGAAAAGATAAAAGTTAGGAAAAGATGAGAAAAAGATGAAAAAGGTCTCGAATCAGTGCTTCTAGAAGAAGAGGGAGAAGAAGAAGAAGAAGAAGAAGGAGAGGAAGAAGAGGAAGAAGAGGAAGAAGAGGAAGAAGAAGAGGAAGAAGAAGACGAGGAAGAAGAGGAAGAAGAGAAAGAAGAAGAAGAAGAAGAAAAAGAAAAAGAAGAAGAGGAAGAAGAAGAAGAAGAAGAAGATGGAGAAGGGGGAAGAGGTGGGAGAAAAGGGAGGGGAAGGGTAAACAATGTGTGGTTGTGCAACCAAGAGCCTCCTTTAACCACCAATACAGAAATACTACAATTCTTTTCGTTTTAGAGAAACTTTTCTTGTGAATCATCGTTAGGATTCTTTTGCGGGAATTGTTAAAATGGATAACATTTCTAAAGAGGGGAAAATTGTGGCGCCGATTCGATCGAAAAGTCAACAGAAACAAGTTGACAAGTTTTGACCTCAAAGAGTGGCTAAATAAGCAAAAGTTGAAGCTTTAGACATTAAAGTGTAAAAATTGACTGAAATAGAGTGCCTAGTTTGCTTTTGGGAAGTTTTTGGGCAAGTTTTTGGCAACTAGAAAAGAGTAGTGACGCCAAAATGATGGTGGTCAAAGAGAAGGAGGTTAAGGTTAAAACTTTCAACTTTTTTCAGACAAAATCTAGATAAAACTAGTTTTTTTCACAAATTCTTAGCATAAACTAAAAATTATTTGAAAGTTCGATAGTTTCCGGGTATTTTGAAAGAATCCAGGTACTTTGAAAAAATCTGACTACTTTGAACGGGTCATCATGCTTTGAAAGCCTATAACTTTGTCCAGAGGTCATATCTTTGTTGACGCTTTATATCATTGGACAGAGCACCTTTCAGGCTTTCAAATAATACCAAATAAAGCTTAATTGGATAATCCAGTCCAAGAAAATCAGAGCCAACTCTGAGCAAATGAGGCCTATCCGACTCGAGTGTCATGTCGCCTGGTTTTCATGGAAATGAAAAATCTAGCCAAGCTCTATTTGGTATTATTTGAAAGCCTGAAATATCCTCTGTACAATGATATAAAAAGTTAGCAAAAATATCATCTCTGAACAAAGTTATAGGCCTTCAAAGTGTGACGACTCGTTCAAAATTCCCGAAAGCTGAAAGTTCAATGCCCAATGTTCAATGCAAGGGTGCTCAGTTAGCTTAAATATAGCTCCCAAATAAGCCCGTGGGTGTAGAATTGTAGGCGGTAGAGTTTATCGCACAAAAACATGACTTGACAGGATTACGTCTTTAGTACTTTATGATCAAAATGAGATCGGATTCGATTGAAGAAGACCAGATGGTGATGATTTGGAAAAGGGAAAGGAAGAAGAGAAAGGAAGAAGGGAAAAGGGAAGGAAGAAGGGAAAAGGGAAAGGGAGGAAAGGAAGAAGTTCAGTGAAAAAAGGTAGGATTTTGGTTTGTGTGTGAGACTCAAAAATGGAGGACAGGAGATGGAGACTGGAGATCCCAGTTTGAGCACTTTCTTCAAAAGAAACCCATTTTGGTGTCAATAGAAAAGTTGTAGAGAATCAAAAATTAGGCTTATAGCCAAATTTTCAAAAAGATACACTTAGTAGTTTCGCTTAAAATGCAAGTTTTGTTGCAAGTTTTGTGAAAATTCGTAAATTTAGCATTTCTTGAAAACCAGTTTTTGAATCGTTCTGAAAATTAGGATATAAGCTTGATTTTTGATTCTCTACAACTTTTCCATTGACACCAAAATGGGTTTCTTTTGAAGAAAGTGCTCAAACTGTGACATACGGTAAATACTATAATAATCCTCCACCCCATAGTGTCGCCTGGTTTTCATAGGAATGAAAAATCTAGCCAAGCTTTATTCGGTATCATTTAAAAGCCTGTAATGTCAGCTGTACAATGATATAAAAAGTTAGCAAAAATATTATCGCTGAGCAAAGTTATAGGCCTTCAAAGGATGGGCCGGTGCGGAGTGTTGCGTAGTCGAGCTTTGAACGAGTTTTTCTCGACACTGGTTTACGCTACAATGCTCGTTTAGGTATCAAAAAATAGCCCTGAATTTCAGCTATTTTTTTGATACCAAAACGCATTTTTTAAAGTACTGGTGCTTTGAAAAAAATGAAATACTAAAAAACTTTTGCGACCACGCGACTGTACGAGGGGGATGGGGTACTATTACAGTATTTACGGTAGTTTTTTCTATTTACAGTTAGAATGGTGTCAAAAGAAATGCCGTTCGAGCTGAGAAAACTGGTGACATTCCAAATGGAAAGCTTGTTATTCTAATGATAATATAAGAAAACTTCTGAAATTATGAGAATTCTACTATTTTGAAATGTTTTAGCTTTCATTGAGGAGAAAAACATAAAGAAATATATGAGAAGGGAAAACTCTAGACGCTCTCGAATCAACAATGATTCAGCTGATTGCAAACAAAAAAGAGAAAAAGGGAAGAGTTCTATTGAAAAAGACGAAACGACAATAGAAGTGAAGCGAATCAGCTGGACGATACAAATGTTAATGAATAAGATGACAAGTTGTAAATATGAGCAAAAAAAAAATATGTCGAATAAGAAACGATAAGAACGACGAAAAGCTTTTTCGTCAATATTTGAAGAGCTGAGGTGAAAAGGCGGGTTTGGGGAAAGGAGAAAAATGAAGTGAGTAATATTTTGAAATGATTAACACGAGAAATGCTTGAGAAACAAAAGTTTATGTGTGATGGGAGAGATTTTACAAAATTCTATTGAATTTTTCTCAAAAATCTTCCATTCTGAGCACTTCTGAGCCAAGCTTGAGTTGAAATATTGGGTTGGTGAATTGAAAGCGGCGGGCTATGGTCATAAAATAAATGTCAAAAATAGAAGTCTTAAATCCTAGAAACTTGACAAAGCAATCGCTATCAGAGAAAGCAACAATCGCTAAGGCTTCAATTTCAACAATCATTTCTTCACTTTTCTAGGGGTAATCAAAAGCGCTGAACACGAATTTGACATTTTTAAAGTAGGTTTTCAATCAAAAACACCCAAATTCCCATTTTGCAATTTTGTCATTTCGAAAAGAACTTAAAACTCAATTTATGAACGCGCAAGCAATCGCTTTTCTAGATCAGATTGCGTGGGTGTTTGAAGCTAATTTTTATAGCTTCAGAATCAGCGATTCTATGAGATAGCGATTCTCAACTTCTAGCTGGTGTCATTCCCTTGTAAAATCAAAAATCTTTATCTACATTCTAAAATAGAAGTCTTAAATCCTAGAAAGCAATCGCTATCAGAGAAAGCAACAATCGCTAAGCCATAGTAAAACTCTTAAACACATTCCATTTCATGGTAAAAACCCAAAGCTGCTTGTTTAAATGCTAGAATTTAGCTGTAAAATCAAAAACCTCATTACCAGTGACCTATTGGGTTGATGAATTGAAAACTGCGGGCTATATGTGACAGTTTGAGCACTTTCTTCAAAAGAAACCCATTTTGGTGTCAATGGAAAAGTTGTAGAGAATCAAAAATCAAGCTTATATCCTAATTTTGAGAACGATTCAAAAGCTGGTTCTCAAGAAATGCCAAATTTGCGTTTTCATGTAAGATTTTAATTTTCGCGCAACGTCGCATTCCAAATGACGTCGCCGGGAGTCGAAGGTAGTCGATGGGAGCGCCGCGTCGTCGTTTCTTTCATTCTTTTTCATTTTCAAATCATTTCTTTTTATCAGATTAATTGAAAGTATTGTTTTACGCGATAAATTTTGTGATGAAATGAGAAAGGAATCTATTTCCATTGGAGAATACGGAACTTTTCGTAGGTCGAACCACAATGAAGGCCAAACCTATTGGGTTGGTGAATTGAAAACTCCGGGCTATTGTCATATGTGACAGTTTGAGCACTTTCTTCAAAAGAAACCCATTTTGGTGTCAATGGAAAAGTTGTAGAGAATCAAAAATCAAGCTTATATCCAAATTTTCAGAACGATTCAAAAGCTGGTTCTC